AATACCATAGGTGATTATGAAAATATTTCCTCAGATGATGGTGCTTATTGATCCCATGAAAACCATCAGTGACACAACTTTTGAAGCATTCTGTTTCCTATGCTGAGCCTAGCTTGGCTTCCCTAAGACTAGACTAGACTAGACTAGAATATTTCAGTTGGAAGGGATCTACAATGATCATCTAGTCCAACTGCAGGACCTCCTCTTCAGGGCTCTCCAAAAGTTAAAGCATGTTATGAAGGGCATTGTCTAAGTGGCATGTAAACACTGACATTCATGGGGCATTGACTACCTCTCCAGGAAGCCTGTTCCAGTGTTTGACCACCCTCTTGGTAAAGTGGCTCCTAATGTCTGACACAGCTTTGAGCCATTCCCAGGCATGCTGTCGCTGGATCCCATGGAGAAGAGATCAGCATCTCCCTCTCCACTTCCCCTCCTCAGGAAGCTGTAGAGAGCAATGAGGTCGCCCCTCAGCCTCCTCTGCTACAAACTAGACAAGCCCAAAGTCCTCAGCCACTCCTCACAGGACATGGCTTCCAGCCCTTCCACCAGCTCTGTTGTTGCCTCCTCCAGACACACTGAAGGACCTTCACATCCTTCTTAAATTGTGGGGCCCAGAACTGCACACAACACTCAAGGAGATGCTGCATCAATGCTGAGTACAGTGGGATAGTCACCTCTCTTGACCAGCTGGCTCTGCTGTGTTTGGTGCACCCCAGGATGTGGTTTGCCCTCTTGGCTGCCAGGCACACTGCTGACTCATGTTGAACCTGTGATCAACCAGCACTCCCAGATCCATTTCTGCAGGGCTGCTCTCCTGCCACTCCTCTCCCCATTTATACTGTTGCCCAGAAGCCAGTAGACTTTAAAAATAATTTATATCCAGTTACAAAGTACTTTTTATGCAAACTGCTACAACTAAACTAGAATGGCTTTGACTGTTACTCTGTCTCAGGAAGCAAACTCTGAAATTTCATGAGTGAACAGTTTTATCATCACTCTCCAAATAAAGACATGCAAATACAGTGCTCTTAATTAACATGGGTTTCACAAGACCAAAGTCACAAAGATAGACAGAAAGAAGATAGGATCTTGGTTTTTAATCTCTAAAGTCTTTTTTCCCCCTTTATGTCTTGCAAGAGGCTTACACAAATGTGTTTCTTCAACAAAAAACAAAATCACCCACTCCGTTCTCCACTCATTTCTAAGAAGATAAGAAGTTTTTTTCCCCCAAATTTTATTTAACAGATTAATGACTGCAAATAACAAATAGTTTTCTGATAGGAAAAATCCATTTGTATATATTTACTCATTTCAAATTCACAGAATATGAAAGACCAAAACTTCTGAGTTAGAATTAGTTCAATAAAGTTACCTGCTTAATGTTAAGATAAACAAATAACATAGTATAAAACCAAAAAAATTCAAGTGCAATCTTCTGAACTGTTGTCAGAAGTTTAAGCTAATAAGCACCACTAGTAAATTCTCTCAGACCTATGAGTGCTGGTCTCTGAGGAGAGCACATCCCGGGGCTGCAGATCCACATTGAGTGGAAATAATGTGCCCAAGCTAGTCCACACTCATCAAGAAGTCACCAAGATCTCTTGGTTCTGCACTCCCCAGGGTTTCCCACTTGAGAAGCTTTATTTTATAAACAAGAAACAACCCTAGCCCTTGCAAGCACTACTAATGCCTATGATTTGGAACCCTTACAACAGAGTACTAATTTGAAATCCATCCAGCCTGTTGACGTGACGTGAATAAGACAGACCAGTTCAGCCAGCATTACTTGTTTTATCTTAACAATGTGAGAGTTTCAGTCAAAAATAAACCCAAAAATACCCTACTAGGAGTTTCCCTGATCTCAGCAACAACTAAAGGCAACACAGGCCACCAGGAAATGCAGTAGTACAAGCACAATCTTACCAGCATCTCAGAATGAATGCACCAGACACCTAATAAAAGAATTTTCTGGTCAGTCAGCTATTACAAAAATAGTAGGACAATAATTTGACTTAATGAAAACTTTTTCAACAGCCTCCTTATTTATCAGAGAAATAGCATATGCTGTCGTGCAACTTCAGTATGTACAAAAGAAGTCAATTCTGAAGTATTAAATCACAAGAGTTGCAAGTATCAGAAAACACTCTCCCAGCAGATGCAATGTTGTATAATGTGCTAGGTGTACTGTTAATATTTCTCCTCCAAATCACAACACTGTCTGGGACACAAGTTGACCTAGGAAATCGGGTACCATATTTTTTATGCTGCTGTAGGAGCATAAAATAAAATTATGAAATTAAATACTCAGAATCAATATATTTTTCCCTTACTATTTGCTTCAGATCAATTCTGTCACATAAGAATGTTGCAACATAGTTTCTACATTCAGCCACTAATTAACTAGTAACAAGAATACAATAAACACCTGTAATGGATATATTTACATGAAAACCGTAACTTTTGCTCAAGATTACATTTTATCAAAATTCATCATGAACCTCCGAAAGCTACACTGGCTCTCTTCCAACTTGCAATATTAACAGACATGAGAGCAATTATTTCACATTTAAACATTTAACACCAAAATCAGCCATAATAATAGATGCTAAATTGATAAGAATTAATGTTTTTAATTTTTTTTTATGTAAGGAAAATAGCAAATTATTGCTTACGACTTCATGTACTCATAATTTCCTTATTTAAGCTTTTTTAAAATATAACAATAAGCAGTGTTTAATCAAAAAAGTCAAGGATGAAAACATTAGAAACCCACACAGACACACTCTGAACTATACTTAATAAAGATTCACAATTCTACAGAAACAAAAATAGTTGTGGAAATAGCAGACTTAAGTGGAAGCAGTTAGTGATCCAATCAAATGAGATTCAAACTGTAATAAGATATCACACTTGACACCTACAACTGTTACACAGTTTCCATTTTGTGTTCTTTATTCATTGTTTACAGAACTTTTTTAGAAACTTTGTGACTGCTTTAGTTGAACGATGTCTTTATCATGTGGAATAAATTTTGTTTTGATGTGTTTTAGTGAAGCAGCATCAACATGCCACACTTATTTACCTTGCTACTCACCATCACTGATATCAGCACAGCATTGTAGGCTCAGAGTTGTACAGAAACTGAGAGTGTTGTTTTGGACTGCTGTTGTAAGAAGTTTACACCTTTTTTTCTCAGTGTCACACCCCCAAAAGATTTCAGAGTGCTGTCCATTTCATTATGGAAAAACAATCTAATGTTTTCATCTTATATTTTGCTCCAATGACCTCAGCATGCCCTATGACCCTACTTGGGTTTTTTTTGTTGTTGTTGCTTTGTTTGTTTTTTAAAAAGCTTTCCCATCTGGAAGAGACTACTGGAATTGATATGTCTGTAGTCCCAGTTGCTGAAGTATGCCTCATTAGAGAGGCACTGGACTAGTTCAGCTTGCTGACTTTATCCCCTCCCAGCTTGCTTTCTCTCACCATATATTAAGAAAACCATAAATACTAAAGACTGGAAAAAAAAAAAAAAAAAAAAAAAAAAAAAGAAAGAAAAAAAGAGCAAAAAAAAAAATCAACCGAGTAACACCAACCAGGCTGCTCGACACCTGGGGTCTCCATGCCCAAGAACAACCAACTATACTGTATTTGTGATTCCCATGGTAATCACTGGTCCAGAAAGTAGCAGCAAAGCATACTAAACAGGCTAAGGGCGAGAACAAACAAGATAAACGAGTCACTCCTGATTGAGATAGCATGCAGACGCTGGTGACCACAACAGGGTAGTGCAGTCCAGCCTACGGACCAAGTGGCAGCCAAGGCTCATCGGTGCACGCTCTGCAACACAACTGTCCCACTGCTTCTCTGATGCCCAAGCAGAAGCAGTGCTAGCAGATGGTTCCCCAGAACAGCTCCTGAGACATCACCTGAGACACTTTAATCTTTCTACAGATCTGGAGAGCACAAAGCGTTCCATATGAAGGTCCTGCATCCTTCAGAAAGCAGTTCGCTTTTCCTGACTATGAAACCACCCAAAAATTCCCACCAGTTGCCTTCCCACTCCCCTAACACAACCTGTAATTAACCTGTATTATTAATTCAGTTCATAACCCTTATTCTTATTACTCTTTCCATAGGTCCTCTTAGTGCTTTCAGCAAGAAGTGGAAATAGTTGTAACCTTGTATTAGAGTATCAACATGTTGATTCAAAGGGACTTTCCTGTTAGCTGGTGGAAAATATGATCCACAGTAATTCAAGTTTACCTGAGAATACTTTCTGACTGCAGAAAAACATAAAAACAACTACTACTGCAGAAGATAACTGTCCACTGTTTATAACTTTGACAGACTTTACTCTTTTCAGTTAATATCCTCTACTGCATGTGTTTAACCCAGAATTTAATATCACATTTAACAACTCAACCAGAAAAAAGGAAACAATTCTCCTCCCAAACTAGAGAACAACTTGTCCCTCTTTTCACTCCTGGTTCTAGTAAACTTTATCACTAGAAGATGGCTTTTTTTTATTCTAAAAGAAAACCAAAAAAGTCACTAAATTTGAAAGTCACTACACTTGCAGAACAGAGAAATTTCTAAGTCATTCTTTTGTGTGACTTGCACTTTTTTCATGTTGACTGAAGTTGATGCCACTACAGCAACCATAATAGGTCACAGGATGCAAGTAGGCTGCAGCTACAAAGTAGACGAGATGGAGTTGCAACACTCCAAAGACATATACTGAAGGAATAATAGAAGAATTTAAAAGGATTACTACTTGTATTAAAAGAAAGGCTATCCTTTATTTTATGATTTTTAAAAAGAGTACCACCAAGTACAAATGATGACAATTAGCCTATCTTACTTAAGATACTAAATGAGTTTTCATATTGTAATCGAGTTGCTCAAAATAAAAACATTACCTTGTTTTACTGTAAGAATTTTCCCATGTTTGAAAAAGGTACTAATAAATAGATGAAATTAACACAAGTCAGTCATACCTTTAGCCACAGCTTCTTTATACTTTTCTTTGGCAGAATTTACTTCCTTTATTAGTTGTCTATAGCTAGATTTTAGTTTCTCTAGTTCTGTCTTTGTGACCTTTAAGAAAACAGAAATATAAAAAGTATTAAAAAGACTTACCCTCAACATATTAAAAATTTCATAGCATTAGTGAAAGATAATTAACAGGATTTATTTTCCAAAATAAGGATGTTACCACTTTCCATTGGCTTGAGATAATCTTAATAGGATTTTACATGTTGTAACAAAATCAAAATCAATAAATCAATAAATTTGAGGAATGAAATAAGAGCCCTGAAACAGAGATCCCCATCCACATGAGTGTAATGAAAAATATGTTAAGGACGTACTGCTGATCATAAATGCTATTCCATTTCAATGACAAGGAAAAAAAAGCACTAAAAAGATGTTTATTAAATCATACTAGATGAAGAAGTTCTATGCATAGGAAATAATTCCTTTAGTATCCAAAAAAAAAAAACCCAACACAGATGAACTTTTAGATATTACAGTTCATACAAATGGCTTAGAAACAGCAACCGTACATGAATCAATTCATCTGTTCTAAGATTTAAAGCCCTAAAAAGGAAAAGAAACCAAATAAACAAACAAAAAAGCCACAAAAAATGCCAAACCAAAACAAACAAGCAACAGAAAAACCACCACCAAAAAACAAATGGCAGTGGAACACAGCACTGACTCATCTTTTTGCAGTGGAAGCAGCTCCACTGTATATTACACTTTTGATCAAAAAATTAAAATAAAATTGTCTTTTCTATCCCTAACTTTCATTCCCTGTGTTACAAAAATAGTGCACTGTTCAGAAATAATCACAAATCACGAACTTGCAAACAAAAGCTAATTACAAATCAGCCACTACAATACCAAAAAGGTGGCATATATACTGAAGAAAAGTAGAAACACTGACAAAAATAAAAACAGACTCACAATGGGAAATCATGGAAGAGGAACCTAATCTAATGGAAGTGCTCCCCCACTGAATGTGCATAAAAGCAAGTCCGTTCTACAGAAAAATTACTCCTCTTGCTGCAGTCATGAAGAAAGCTGGAGTTCACAATTCTCCCTTTTTTCATGAGGTAAGGCCCAGATATCACTACCATCACCCTCAAGAACTACATCTAGAAAATCAATGGAATTCCTCAAGGAGTCAACAAGGTGCTATTTACAGTTTCTATTTCTGGGCCAACTGTGCAAAGATTTGAAGGTAGGAACTTTTCTCTACATCAACCCCATATTCTCATGTCTTTTACTCACTGTAAATTACATTCACAATGGTTGTTATTATAGACTAACAGAGGTGGTACAGGAAAACCTGTATTATAAAGAGACTCAAGGAATGGAAAAAAAATTAAATTAGGAAGTAGTGAATACAAGACATAAATAACAAGGAACTGCTTCTCTTACAGAAAACTGGAAAATAAAAGGTAGGCCAATAGTATTAAGAAATCTTAGTAATAACTGTAAAATATATTTTACTGAATCTTAGATTGTGTTCTCCCAACTGGCAAAACTCCATCCCTAGATAACACTTAGGGAACTAAGATGGTCAAAAGTCTTGCCCACGTGACTAGCATAGTACTGTACTTTACACTTTTTCTTCAAATTTCGTTAAGAAAGAAAAAATATCCACTATCTTAATGGAAATTGGAATAAATCTACAAGATACAAGTTTTATTATATTTGTGTAAAAAACGTGGTATTTTACTGTCCTTAAGAATTATTTCAAAGTGATTCCTCACTGTAGAGGTGTCTAGAATAAGAAAAGATTATTCACATGCATTTCACCTAAAGGAAACCACACTTTTTTGATAGCGTATCCTAAAGATTATGAACTGCACAGACCTTCACAGGTCTTCACAAGGTTCGGATAATATAATGGGAAGTAATAAGTATTTTGCTTCTGTGTGTAACTAAAGCATATGAAATAATACTACAGACCATGAGAAGTGTTTTGAATTTCTGGCAACCATTGTGTAAGTGCCCCAGTGGCACAAAACCTTTGAACAAACAAAGTCAGCTAACAATGAAAGAGCGTATCGTATTTAACTAGAATACTATTCAAATGCTTCTTAGGAAAATCAGGAAGGGAAAAAAACAAACCAGAACAACAACGCAAGCTTATTCATCAGGATGCAAAATATTTGCATGGCAATGCAGCCCATAATTAATTACAATCAGTACAGTTTGTAATTAATCATTTGAGGAGTGCTTAATGTGCACCATATTTTGTTGAAAAAGCCTTATTTTAAAAGACAGTTTTATTAGAGATTTTATTAACTTGTTAACAGAAAAAAAAAAGTTTTGCAGAGTCTCTTTTAAAAGTATACTTGAACCTACAGCAGTCTTGTTTCATTCAGGGAATGGCAGCAGGTTCCTGCCCAGTGCAGAAGGCATATCCCCTCAGGACAACCCCAGCCTCCCAGGTTCCCTTGCACAATAGATACAAAGCTCTACAAGTGGAACCCAGCCTTAATGTGGATGATGGTTCCCACAGCCTGGAAACATTCCCAAGGTTAAGACACCCTAAGCCCCGCATCACAGCAGCTTCTGTAAAGAAGAAAAGATGGGTCACTGTCATAGGGGACCCCCTTCTGAAGGGAACAGAAGGCCCGATATGCAGACTGGACTCTTTTCACAGGGAAGTCTGCTGCCCACCTGGGGCCCGGGTTAAAGATGTGGAAAGAAAACTTCGAACTCTGGTAAGGCCCAAAAATTATTATCCATTATTAATTTTCCAAGTAGGCAGTACTGAAACCCTAACAAGAAGCCCAAGAGCAATTAAGATGGACTTCAGGGTGAAATCCTGGTGAAAGGATCAGGTGTACAGGTAGTGATCTCCTCTGTCATTCCTATAACAGGAAATAATGAGGGGAGGAATAGACAGAGACAGGAAATAAATACCTGGCTCTGAGCCCAGTGTGAGGACCAAAATTTTGGGTTTTTTGACCATGGGTTGGTCTACACAACAGCAGGCCTGGTGGCAAATGAAGGGGTATACCTGATTCCAAGGGGAGAAAGCATGCTTTCCAAGTTAGCAGGGCTCATCAAAAAAGCTTTAAACTAGATCTGATGGGGGAGGATGGTATAACCAGGATTGCTAGAAATAGGCCTGGGGATGGCACTCCAACGTCTGAGGGACAGTGTGCTAGTGAGGCTCTTCGGTCTACAGCCTCAGAGGAAGTGGGGGATATTACCCCAAGTCGCAGCAAAAATGCAAAGGTTATTGATGGGTTAGAAAAAACAGTGAGTAGTCACTTCGGAACTAAGACTATATCCCTCAGAAGAGTGGCAGGATCAGTAGCCCAACTGAAGTGCATCTACACCAATGCACACAGCATGGGCAACAAACAGGAGGAATTAGGAGCCATTATGCAGCAAGAAAACTGTGATACAATTACCAACATGGAAACGTGGTGGGACAACTTGCATAACTGAAGTGCTGTCATGGCTGGCTATAAACTCTTCAGGCAGGACAGGCAAGGAAGGAGAGGTGGCAGGGTAGCCCTCGACATTAGACTGTTTTAATTGCCTCTAGCTCAGTCATGGTGATGATAGGGTTGAGTGTCTATGGGTAAAAATCGGCAGACTATCTAATAAGACAGATATCATGTTGGGAGTCTGCTACAGACTGCCCAGCCAGGATGAAGAGACAGATGAGATATTCTACAAGCAGCTGGGAGAAGTCTCACAATTGCTAGCCCTCATTCTTGTGGGGGACTTCAACTTACCAGATGTCTGCTGGAAGTATAATACAGCAGAAAGGAAACAGTCTAGAAGGTTCCTGGAGTGTGTGGAAGATAACTTCCTGACACAACTGCTGACTGAACCAACTGGGGAAGGTGCCCTGCTGGACCTGTTGTTTGTGAACAGAGAAGGTTTTGTGGAAGATGTGATGGTTGGAGGATGCCTGAGGCACAACAATCACAAAATGACAGAATTCTCGATTCTTGGAGAAGCAAGGAGGGGAGGTCAGCAAAACTGCCACCTTGGACTTCCAGAGGGCAGACTTTGGACTGTTTAGAAGACTGGTCAGTAAGGTCCCTTGGGAGGCAGTCCTGAAGGGTAAAGGAGCCCAAGAAGGCTGGATGCTCTTCAAGAAGGAAATCCTGGAGGCGCAAGAGCAGGCCATCCCGATGTGCCAAAAAACGAGCTGGCAGGGAAAAAACTGGCTTGGCTGAGCAGAGAGCTTTGGGTGGATCTCAGAAAAAAGAGGAAAGTCTATGAGCTCTGGTAGAGGGGGCAGGCATCTCACAAAGACAAGGATGAAGTGAGGTCTTGCAGAGAAAAAAATAGAAGGGCTAAAGCCCAGCTAGAACTTAAAAAACAAAAATCGATGTGCCAAAAAACGAGCTGGCAGGGAAAAAACTGGCTTGGCTGAGCAGAGAGCTTTGGGTGGATCTCAGAAAAAAGAGGAAAGTCTATGAGCTCTGGTAGAGGGGGCAGGCATCTCACAAAGACAAGGATGAAGTGAGGTCTTGCAGAGAAAAAAATAGAAGGGCTAAAGCCCAGCTAGAACTTAAAAAACAAAAATTGTTTCTATAAATACATTAACAACAAGAGGAAAGCCAAGGAGAATCTCCATCCTTTACTGGATGCAAGGGGAACAATACTGAGAAGGGATGAGGACAAAGCTGAGGTATTTAACACCTTCTTTGCCTCGGTCTTTAATAGTAGGGTCAGCTGCTCTCTGGGTTACCAGCCCCCTTAGCCAGAAGCCAGGGATGCGGAGCAGAACAAAGCTCCCATGATCCAGGTTAGAGACCTGCTCAGCCAAATAGACATTCACAAGTCTATGGTGTCAGATGGGGTTCACCTTAGGGTATTGACGGAGCTGGCAGAGGCACTTGCTAAACCCCTTTCCACCATCTATCAGCAGTCCTGGTTGACTGGGGAGGTTGGCAATGTTACACCCATTTACAAGAACGGCCAGAGGGAGGATCCAGGGAACTACAGGCCTGTCAGTTTGACCTCGGTGCTGGGGAAGGTCATGGAGCAGATCATCTTGAGTGATACCACACAGCACACACAGGCCAACCAGGTGATCAGGCCCAGTTAGTGTGGGTTTATGAAAGGCAGGTCCTGCCTGACTGACTTGATCTCCTTCTAAAACAAAGTGACCAGCTCATTGGATGAGGGCAAGGCTATGGATGTGGTGTACCTGGACTTCAGTAAAGCCTTTGACACCATTTCCCACAGCATTCTGCTTGAGAAACTGACTGCCAATGGCCTGGACAGACACACTCCCTGCTGGGTTAAAAACTGGCTGGCTGGCCAGGCCCAAAGAGTGGTGGTAAATGAAAGAGTGGTGGGAAATGGAACTAAATCCAGCTGGAGGCCAGTCACAAGTGTTCCCCAGGGCTCAGTGTTGGGGCCAGTCCTGTTTAACATCTTTATCAATGACCTGGATGCAGGGTTTGAGTGCACCCTCAGTAAATTCAGAGATCACACTAAGCTGGGTGGAAGTGTTGATTTGCTTGAGGGTAGGAAGGTTCCACAGAGGGATCTGGACAGGTAGGATCAGTGGGCGGCAACCAACTGTATGAGGCTCAACAAGGCCAAGTGCAGCACCCTGCACTTGGGTCACAACAACCCCATGCAACATTACAAGCTGGAAAGCTGCCTGGAGAAAAGGACCTGGAGGTGTTGTTTGACAGCTGGCTGAACATGAGCCAGCACTGTGCCCAGGTGGCCAAGAAGGCCAATAGCATCCTGGCCTGTATCAGAAGCAGTGTGGCCAGCAGGACCAGGGCAGTCGTCCTCCCCCTGTACTCGGCACTGGCGAGGCTGCACCTCGAGTACTGTGTTCAGTTTTGAGCCCCTGACTACAATAAGGACATTGAGGCACTGAAGTACGTCCAGAGAAGGGCAACAAAGCTGGTGAACAGCTTGGAGAACAAGCATTATGAGGAGCGGCTGCGAGAACTGGGGTTGTTGAGTTTGGAGAAGAGGAGGCTGAGGGGAGACCTTACCACTGTCTACAGTTACCTGAAAGGAGGTAGTAGCGAAGCAGGTGTGTGTCTTTTCTCCCAGGTAACAAGTGATAGAACAAAAGGAAATGGCCTCAAGTTACTTCAGGGGGACAAGTGGTGCAGGTGGGTGGTCTTGGTGACCCTCATGGTCACATTGGCCGCTGTGGGGTCCATAGCAATCAATCAGCCTCATTTTGGGGGGGGCAGAAGATCCCAAATCAAATCAAGACATGGGTAAGTGGTAGACTTGTCAGGTTTACAGTTGGACTTGATGAACTCAAAGGTCTTTTCCAACCAAACAATTCTATGATTGTGGTGGGTTGACCCTGGCTAGATGCCAGGTGCCCACCAAAGCCACTCTAACACCCCCTCAACTGGACAGGGCAGAAAAAATATACTGAAAGGCTTGTAGGGTCGAGATAAGGACAGAGAGAGATCACTCACCAATTGCCGTCATGGGCAAAACAGACTCGACTTGGGGAAAATAAATTTAATTAATTACCAATCGAATCAGACAAGAGTTTAATGATAAATAAAATAAAATCAAATCTTAAAAACACCTTCTCCCAACTCCTCTCTTCTTCTCAGGCTTAACTTTCCTCACCTCCTCCCCCGTAGTGGCATACGATCAGTTCATCACATATTGTCTCTGCTGCTCCTTCCTCCTCAGAGGGAGGACTCCTCACACTGTTCCCCTACTCCAGTGTGGGGTCCCTCCCACGGGAGACAGTCCTCCATAAACTTCTCCACCATGAGTCCTTCCCATGACCGGCCATTCTTCACCAACTGCTTTAGCATGGGTCCTTTCCATGGGCTGCAGTCCTTCAGGAACAGACTGCTCCAGTGCGGGTCCCCCACGGGGTCACAAGTCCTGCCAGCAAACCTGCTCCAGTGTGGGCTCCTCTCTCCACGGGGCCACAGGTTCTGCCAAAAACCTGCTCCAGCACAGGCTTCCCACAGGGTCACAGCCTCCTCCAGGCATCCACCTGCTCTGGTGTGGAGTCCTCCATGGGCTACAGGTGGTCATCTGCTCCACCATGGATCTCCATGGACTGCAGGGCAACAGCCTGCCTCACCATGGTCTTCACCACAGGCTGCAGGGGAATCTCTGCTCCAGCGCCTGGAGCACCTCCTCCCCCTCCTTCTTCCCTGACCTTGGGGTCTGCAGGGTTCTTTCACATCTTCTCACTCCTCTCTCTCGAGCTGGAAAATGTGCAGCTTTTTTTTTTTCTCTTCCCCTTCTTCTTACTTATGTTATCACAGAGGCGTTACTGATGGGCTCAGCCTTGGCCAGTACTGGGTCCATTCTTGGAGCCGGTGGCATTGGCTGTGTCAGACATGGGGGAAGCTTCTGGCAGCTTCTCACAGAAGCCACCCCTATGCCCCCCCACTATCAAAAACCTTGCCACACAAACCAAATACATTAATCTAGCCTCTTTCTTTCTTACATTTCTTTTTTTCTTCCTCCATTTCTCCAATTCTCTCTCTGTATAACATCTGTTATTTCTAACATATGCTAACAGTTTTTTCTCTTCTTCAGTCCTCGCTATTTTCAGATGCATCAAATCTTAACTAGCTGTGAGTGATTATTTGGCTTGGAAATTTTATCAGATAAGGCAGTCTTCTGACCATGTATCAAAAAGGATATACTCCCTCTAGTCAATATCTGTGGAAGATGCCAAGATCCTAGCATATTATGGAAGCAGTCCTATTAGAGCCAACATATTCAACTTAATTTAACGTTAAATATGTTTCTCTCATAACCAGCCCAAGAATCTTTTACTGATCAGTCCATGACATTTGTATGGTACTACTGAGATGTTAAATTTTAATTAAACTACTCTAAATCTCAAATTATCTCCTGGAAGAAATAAGAAACGGTGCTTTTCCTTCTCTCAGCAGACCTTTCAAACTATCAATCTGATTTTTGACATTTGCAGTGAAAGTTCCCCCAGAGCACCTGATGAAAGTGTGATTTCTGTCAGCTTTAATGATGAGATATAGAGCTTTCAACATAAGCAGGACAACCGACATGTAATATAAAAGGCCCTGAAAAACTCCATCTGCAGCCTTAATGTTTGGTTGACACTCAATTTTTATTTCAGAATAGGGACTAGAATCCTGTCCCCACCTGAAACAGATTGCACTGTCAAGAGCATTCATTAACAAAAGTTTTCAGTACCCTGGCCCCAGTGACGTCTAGAGTGGAATGAGAACAGGAAGAGAGATAGAATAGAGATATGTCACACAGAATCATCCTCTACTGGAAGAAGAGCATTTCCAATGCTAACTGTTCAAATTCATATGGAAGAAAGTTTTCCATCTCTGCCTTGTCAGCGAACAGGGGAAAGAAAATGTGGAGACAATAACTAAAATTTAAACTAGGCATTCTACATATCACTACTTTTACCATAGCATAAACACAAACAGAGGAACTAAAAAAATCCACTCTCGATCCACTCTCATTTTTAAACATACAAACTATAATAAATTTATAAAGCACAGTTGAATAAAATACCTTGTACATCTCTGCTTCAATTTGTTGATGAACACCTATGTAACTCTTCTTAACTTGCTGCTTATCTTTGATCATCATTGTAAGCCTATGCAAAGGCCCAGAATTAAGATCTTCTGCATGTGTCTTCATTATTTTGCTCAGCTGTTCTGTTTGCTGTACCATGAGCAACCAAGACTATAAAAAAAAGTCAGAACAGAAAAGCACTTACTTTTTCTGGCTTACAAATAACCAAGCAATACACATGAACTGTGGGAAAAAACGCATCACTGTTTAACACAATTCAGTAAAAAAAGGATTTTAAACTTACTCAAATGCACTTGACATCTTCTAAAATGAAGTTCTTCCTGCTACAGCAAAATGATGTCTCAAACTTACTCATAAAATAATAAAAAAGCACCAGAGACATAAATACGATACTGTATGGTCACCCTTCAGCACTATCCTAGTACTTCTGAACACCAATGAAAGCTTTACAGCTTTTTTGTGATTACTTCCCTGACACCTCCGACAAGCATGTTCCTGTGTCCTTTGTTCACCTGTTTCCCAGACACAGTTACTCTGTTCAAGCTGACTTCTCTGCCCTTGTTTAAATACCTCACAGTAATATGCATTTGAGTGGTTATTGTTTAGGAGGGTAACACTCATCAGCTGTACCACATAACTGACAGCATGAGAGTCAGGCCACCAGTATCAAAGCACAAAATGCTAACAGATTAAGAGACACAAGCAGTTACTTGTCTGTCATAGTAACTCAACATCTTTCTGTTGTTTGCAATTCTGTTGGGTAGTTTTCAGGACAATTTAATGTGCTGTGGCTTTGACTTTTCATTAGGAACTGTGACAGAGAGACTTCCAATGCACCACAAATACAAACTCAAAATTAAAGCTAAGTTCAAATAAAAGATCCCTGTCACTTTGTTGATGAGAACAGCATTGGATTCCTTAGAGCTAACTCCCTGATGTTGAATGCTATGCTATATGTAAAATTTTAGAATGGCTACATGCCATACAACCATCAGGTTTTCAAGGCAGCTAGTATGCTAGTTTTACTAGCACTTATCTTTCCTGTTGACAGAACTTCACCTTAGATCATCAAAACTTAGAACACCAACTTGTTTGGTAGTTTTGGGGTTTCCTTACATCTCATATATAAACATACATATAGTATTTCTCTACATGACAATGCTGCAGCGCAAACTGGATTCTAGAGAAGGAAACAAAAGACAGTTAACTCCTGTATATATTAAACAATCTTTAACATTTCCTTTAGCTTGTAAACATCCCACACACTGGCACAGAGCTATCTCAGACTGCTTAAAGTGTGGTGGTGTAAAAGGTCACTGCCTAAAGCTTTCCAGCTATGGCCGAATACTGTTTCACCTCTCCACTACAGAACACCTTCCAAATGACATCAGAAGGCATATTGCAAAGCTGCACAGGAAAAAAGCATCATTAAGCATCTGTCTGAGAGGAGTGAGTCTTGAGTTACAGAAGAATTCATAAGAGTGCTCTCAGAGGTGAAAGTGTAGTCAGAGTTCTCCATTTTCTTTAAGGTTGATTTATTACTGATGATACAAGTACTGTTTCAATCAACCCTGAAAATCACAGTAAAAGTATTTTTCAACAGGACAAGTACTTTAAAGAAATACTTACTTTATAGTTCACTAAATGAACCCAAATAAGTCAGAAAAATAGTGAAAACTTCCCTTTCCATTTAAAAAAAAATAATTTGCATGTTTACCTGTTCTTTACATCCCTCCTTCCATAATGAGAAAACATCGGTTAAACAGCATTAGTATGGTTTGTATGATTAAATTTTATTATTTTTAAATAGGAAAAGCTAAAGTGAAAAGCTATACTTGCGGAATGGCTTCAAAAATTGAGATTTATATAGGACAGAAAAGCAGCTGGGTGTAGATTGCAGAAACGGTAAAGCATTTCCTTTTACAGAAAATAACCACAAGCCATCAAAAGCAATAAAATACAATATTGTTTGGTTTAACAGTATTTTTTTAGACATATACACACTCAAAATAGCTGTTGCAAAGCACTTAAAAATTCTCCTTTACTAGTACTAGTCATTGCTGTCACTATGCCTTCCAGCAAGTTTGCTGCCTCTGTATGAAAAAAAACATAGGACAGATTTTCCCAAACCCCATTTCCCTCAAAATGCTCACTCTTGCTGTATACTTAAAAAAAAAGGCATAAAAGATCAGACAGCTTGGTATTTGGCTTTGATGTCATGTAATATAAAAAATTTTATATATTAAATCTTAGGAAGATACTACATTTATGCCTGATAATATTTGGGTCATACTTTGATTCTGGAAAATGTCAGGAAAAGAGAAAAGGTACTGTGAAATAATAAACTAAAATAGAATTATGTGAGTAAAGTAATCAAACAATAATTCAGACATTTTAGCTGCCAAAACCAATACAAAAATGTGTCATTACACAAATTGAAAATCCAAGGTCACACTGAAATTTCAAGGCAAGCCCATACAAAAGATCTATTAGTTGCATATGAATACAGTTGCCGTTATATAAAAATGTAGAGATCAGGGTTGGTGCTTGAGAGAAAAATAGCACCTCCTTAACAGGAAAAAAAAAAAAAAAAAAAAGGAACAAAAATAATCCCGAAAGAACAACTTTAGCACTTATGTTCTAAACAAGATTTCAAAATGTGACACGTGCCTCTCTTCAACCCAAAGAGAACATGGCTTAAGTTAGATCTTCAGCTTTTAAAATTTTCTCAAAGGAAGTGCCTACATCACTAACATGAACTGTCCTAGACTGAGCTAGCTAAAAGTTAAGAGTTGCCTATACCTTATAATGCTAAATATTCTGATGCCAATGCTCCTTTACAGTTCTAGCCCTAATCCACTCTGTTTCATCACCTAAAAGAATTGCAAGACAGTTTACCTAGCTCATTAGAACAATTTTAGCTGGGCAGCAATAGCAAGAATTACTAGTAATATCACCAATAATCTTACACAAAACTTTGGGATACAACAGTAGAAAGCTTGAATAAAATACCTGATTTCTACCAGTCTTAGGCTAATGACATGCTTTAATGTTTATTTACTAATACCACCACAATTCAGATAGCAAAATCTGTAAAAAATTCTGTATAAGAAATGCAATTGGGTGAAATGCATTTCAAATACACCACCAAAACATTCAGATGAAAATAAAAAAGTAGTAGGTCAATTTACAAGACAAGAATTATTGGAGGGAAGCGCAGCAACAACAGAATCTGTCATAAAGTCTGCACAGTGCTACTTTGGGGGCAGCTGAAGCAGGCTAGTTAGAGCAGCACAGCTTTCAAGTCACACATACAGCCAATTTATTCCCATATAAATCTAGATTGCTGCACAAGGAGCAGTCACATTCCTAATGCTACGCCAAGCTAGTGTTCAAGCAGCCACCCCATAAGCCCACTACATAAAAACTGCTTTGTCTAAAGTTTAACTTGATGCTAAAAGGGTGTTTTCCTGCAGAGAGCGGATCAGGATTCATGCCAGATTGAAGGAACTGTGTAATCACTGCTACAGCAGAAGGAACATGATTGAACAAGCCATTAAAACAGAATAGTTTTCTCTAATCAGGAAAGAATTCAAGTCAAGAGTGAAGCTTACAAACAGGTAATAGGGAAGTTTGCTTCATTGGTACCTTTACTGGACTTCCTTTAAATCTGAAAATTAATAATTTTGGGGAAGGACATTCTTACCTTTATAAAAAGTCAACATGGTTATATTAAACTGGATACAAAATAATTTCACAATTATGAGAAATATCCAGAATTAATGTTTTGTTTTCACAACACACTTTGTAGTGTGAATAACAGCTGGAATGCTAGGCTTTGCCTCAGTTGCCCGGCATTTTTCTATTTCTGTCACAAATTCTATGTAATATAAACAACAGTTCCTATTTAACTGTCTTAAAATAAAAGCTTACTATAACATACCCTATTTTCAAAACACCAAACAAAGTAGCAGGCTTAACCCAGGAACCCAAAATATTGAATTTCAGAATTCAGGATTGATTCCAGTTCAGTTATTATTTTCAAAGCAAGACTGGAGGTCAACTTCTGCATATTCTACTAAGGAATTAAAAGGAGCCCATATTAACCACTTCAGCAACATTAACTCTCAAGAAGCTGAATGAACAGGAATCCAACTCAAACTAAAACAAACAAAAATAAATCCAGCACTGTTGTTTCCAAGGATATTCCAAATTCAGAATACTTCAGTCTTACCTTGGACACACTGCTGATATAATCCAATTGACAAGTGCTCTCTTTATCTACTTGATTACAAAGATTCTGTAAAGTGGAGGCATACTCTTTATCACTTTTTACTCGCATGACCATAAATTTCTTCACTGTTTCCAGCAGCCGTAGCTCCCAGTCTTGCAGTTTTAATAAAGCATCATGAGAATACTTCAGGTCACCTCCAAACCCCATTTTTAAGGCACTATATACTGCACAGGGGAAAATACAGGCTCTTCACCACATCTGAAAGCAGAACAAGATTTATGAGACACATATGAAAAGAAAAACTTCTAGTGTGACAAAGGGCAACTATTAATGTCTAAACCCTGAAATAACTTAACTGTAAGTAACCACATACATATGCCTCCTCAACCCCCCCCTTCTTCTCCCCCAAAAAGGAGGGTCAGAGGGTCAGTTTCAAATACCCATCTATGACTGTAAGAGATATCAGGCCCAGAACTGTCCTCCAGTTTCCATGTGCAGAATGTACCTCCCTAAGTTAAAGTGAAGTTACGAGGGAACACATGAAAATATCTAAGACAGATACTAAAGACCAATCCACATATTTAATCACATAAGTGTAGCTGACAGTATCTCCAGACAAGAACTGCCAACTATACTGTTCCACTCCTAATGACCCAAAATATTTGTTTCTGGTGTTTACTGTCCTAAGAGCACAGAAAAATCCAAACAAAACATGCTCCCCTGGGACACACATTAGGGCAGAGTTCTTAAATTCACATGATTTTCCCCTAAGGCGGTCCAGTCTCACTGCACCAAATGGACATCATTTGATAAAGAGGTAAGTAATGCCACCTTATGAAATCCTTAAACACAACTGCAGGTCAAAGATGTGTTTGCACTAGCTCTAAACCACCTGCATCTGATACTGATAAACATGTAGCCACATCATGGAAGACCTGAGCCCGCACATATGAGTAACTTCCACAGACCTCCATAGGTTTTGTAATGCAGGCTGAACCCTCTTTTCTGTTTATACACCAGAAACCTATTCCTATACTAATTAGCTTCAAACTAGGTAAGATAAACTTACATAAACTGCAATTATAGCTCTGGACTGCAGTGCAGACACAGCCTATGTACTGCTTATTCACCAATTCCTGCACTCCAGCCAAGTCTTAGCTCTTTTGAACACAGAAGTACCAATTTCTTCCTAGGCTTTAAATTGCCACTTGTTGCTTTACAAACATTAATAGATTTATCTTCCTAACTGCCCATGGGGCAAAGCAGGACTAATAATCTTATTTTATACCAAGAACTGAGACACATAAACTAATGTCAACATTGTACCAGCTAATACTGGTAATTTACTGGTACTAATTTACAAGGCTTAAAGACCAATTTTTTTGAGTGCCTAGAATTTTTAGCATATTAATTATCAAGAAAAAAAAAAAAATAAAAAAATATTGGCTTCATTTACCACACAAAATTTCAGAAGATTTTGCAAAGCAGAACCTAGAGCAATCTCCAGGGTATACTGACTCCCAGGATCATTCCTCTCTTCCTGTAGTTCCCTAGCTCCATTAGCTCTTCTGGAAATGAGCTTCATCCACTACATGCTTATTCTCAGACACAAACCATGCTATGTAATGAAAGAAACAAAAGATCCTATAAAGAAAGGAAAAATCGTGCCGTGTTATTATGCATCTACACAATAGTGAAAAGTCAAGGTTGTATGAGTAACCTTAAATCTATTATAAGCTTTCATATGCTCTTTAATTTGAAGCTGTATATTTCAATCAGAATTCTTGCTGATGGTTAAGAGCTCAGTCATAAAGAGCAACAGTAAATAATTCACTCTGGCTGCATTTATAAAGGATAGACTATGTCACTATTAGTTGTATTAATGATAATATTTTCACAGTTAAAGTTTAAGAACAGTCTTGCAAAACCAGTAACAATTTAATAAGACTAGCAAAAGAAAAAATCTTAAAGCATCTACTTATTAACATCACTGGAGCTGTACTTGTGATTTTTGACACCCTTTAGACTGATACCGACTTTTGTCACCAAGCTCATTTTTCTCCTAGCACATTTTAACATATTACCTAAGTATCCTAGCACATTAGCTGTGAGAAAAGCTAGTATCTTTATTTTCTTACTTGCCAGATTAAAAAAAGATGGGAACTGAATCTCAGGATGAAGTCTGGCCTTGTGCAATGAGTCAAATGCTGTCTTTTACTGAGATGCAAGAGAGCAAGGGAGGGAGGAAATGTTCTCAGCATATGATATTTCAGTCTGTATCTACTGACTCACAGTGCAGCCATACGATCACAAAAATCAATAGAACAGAAAATCCAACAACATCTCACTCCAGCCTGCTAATCCTCCCTTCACTAATTAGTAATTAGATTTTTTCTGATCACACTTTTAGAGGCCTGGGTACACAGACAAAAATTGTACATACTGAACTCTGGTCTTTGTTTTCAATTATTCCATTCACTGTGACAGAAGCAGCAAAGCAAAAAGTTGTTTTGTAAAAGTGATAAAATTCTGATTTGGTAAGGTTAACAAGCATGAAGTGTCAGACTTCACGAGTCTCAACTGGGTAAGCCAGCCCCCGTATGCCTTCCTTGTAAATTCAGAAAATGTTCTATCAAAACATTGAGCAAAATGCTCCAGTATTGTGGAGGCAAAGAAGTGAACAAGTATCCAAGATCTAAGCCACTTAATTATTGATAAGATAAAAAGCAACACTTAATTAAAACTACTTTTACATTTTTAACACTCTTAACACTTTTAAATAACTGAAAACAGTACAGATCACAGAGTCACTTACTCGCAGTCAAAACTGTAAGAATTACACCAAGAAGTCCAAACACATGAATAGACATGTTCTATGCAATCTATATTTCAAATACTCTTAAAAAACACAAGCACATCTCAAGGCCAGTGTTCAAAGAGACAATATCTGGCACCAACAAAGACAGGTATAAGTTTGATATCTCCCTGCTTTGTGTGCACAGATGAGTCGATTGCTGTTCTACAGGGTCAGACCAACATAGCTGAGTATTTCAGTTGTAAGGGACCTACAACAATGATTGGGGCACAACGATCCATTTAGACTGGCACTCTGTCTCCAACCATGGCACCAGGAGATGCCACTTAAGGACAGCAAACAAGCTGGATTGCTGTTTGTGGCATGATCCTCCTTGTACTTCCCCATGTTCACAGCTATGGGTTACTGAAGAAATACTAATAGTATCATTATTTGTCTTTACAATACAACACTGTAACATTCACACTGAACATGTAACACAAAGACAGGTTCCCACCCAGATTTTGCAACCACAGACCACTGGCAAAATTGAGTACTGCAATAAAATCCAAACACATAAAAGATTTACTGTAGAACCAGTAGGAGATATGGGGAGTTTGAGACACAAACACAATCTCTACTCTAATGTTTAAAATATAAAAATACAGTGTGAAAGATATTCTGGGGGAAAAAAAAAAAAAAAGTCTTTCTCAAAAAAAACCATGGGAGAATATTTTACCTTAAAGGAAAAAGCAGAGATGGCGTTACATCTTAAAGTAGCTAGATCGAGATTTGATGACAACGAGCACACGATATGCTAGATTTATACACAAAAAAACCCTTCAGGAATTGTTTGTTCTTACTGCAAAGAGATTTCTCCTGTCTCTGACAGATATCCATGAGATTTATCTCTTTTTCCACACATAAAAAATGTTTGCTTAATTTGACATGCCAGTGAAGTCTCAAACTGAATTCTAGCATGCTTTGTAACTAGTGGCATCAAATAGGACAAATGTTTTTCAGCTAGTTTACTTTTTTATTTTGAAATGTGAGATACATATATGTTACTATAAAAATTACTGGATATGCAAATTAGTCAATCAATATTTTATAAGGTCCAACAGTTACAATATGTCTCAGGGACAACTCCAAGAGAGTAAAACTTACTTTCTTTTTAGAGTCACTTTCAAAATAACAAACTAACCACTGTCAGGAAGTAAACACTCAATGTACATTTAATAACGTACTGTGAATAAGCAACCAGACCTAGTTACTGAAGATAGCTTGTGACTTGTCTCAATCACCACCACCAGAGTGGTGACGTCAGATTCCAAACAAAGCAATGTTAAGTTTTGTCAGTATGACAGTGAGAAACTTCCAAGGACAGTCACATAATTCTTTAATATGTAACACTCCTCTCAGCAACTAAAGCCAATATTCCAGCATTAGTAGTCTTCCTAGATTCCAGCAACAACTCTGAAGAAAGTAGATTTCATAGCCAATCTACATTTAATTTAAAGATTGCAATCTGCCCCTGACACATGAAAGCAGCCATACTATGTCAGTTCAAAGGTCCAGTGTGTCTGACAATGACCAAAATCAAATGAGAACAGAGCACACGTGTAGCAATACTTTGCCAGGATGCTTTCCTACCCTTACAACTGGTGGCTTCTGTTCCATATTGGCATGAAATATATCCAAGACTGTGATTACTAATCTTAAAATAATGATAGATCCACATGCATCAGTTGGAACTTATGATTTAATAATATCAATGACAAGGTAGGCAACTGATAAACCATAAACCAGAAGCATGCCTGGCCCTCAGTTAAAACAGGAAAACACAGCACACATCTGGCACCTCCAGAAAGAGGAATATGGAATGGGCATGGTATGCAGAGAGTATCACACTCAGTCTAGATCTGCTGTCAACTCCCTTGCTCCTAAATCTGCATGAGCTCCAAATCACTTAGCATGGCTTGTATTTTGCAGACCTCTTCAAGAATACTGCAAAATCAGAGAAGGAAGGGGACTTGGATTCAGGAAACAAATCCTTGAATTTGAGGCTTCTGTAGCAATTTAAAAGCACATAAAGGTGATCAATTCGTTAGACAGTTTATCTCAGTTTCTGAATGTGAGGTTTACAGCAGTTACATTCTATTAAAACAATGAAATAAATCATTCTTAGCCCTCCATCCACAACTTAAATAAAAATTAGACTGTTAAGCAATTTATATTTCTGTTAGCATAGGATCTACTCCTGGAATGTACAAGACCCTGAAATATAAAACACACACTTTACCTACCATTTGTTTACACTAACCACATATTCAGAGTATTTGATGTGAAATTTATGGAATGTGAACTAGCTGAATTAATACTTTCATAGAGCTACTGCCATCAATAAATATCCAAATTAGAAATCTAAAACTAGCCCAATTATTTCAAAACTGGTCTGAAATATTAGTAG